ATTGATCTTATGCAAAATTTGGCGTGATCGTCTTCTGCTTTACGGCAAGCAGTTGGCGTCCACGTCACAACAGCATTCTATATTAAGCGTTAAGGCACACCTACCTCTATACGCTAAGCGTAAAGTTATTCGATGTTGTGATAATGCTAGCATTGGGATAAGGTGTGCGTGTAACATGCGCTTTATCACCTCGACATCAGAGTTTTCAGACACCTTGCTTCTTAGAACTTTCAGCTACCGATCACATATTACATCTGAGGTTCTCAACTGATTGTCTGACGGCACATTAATGTCAATATCATACTTTTTAACAATGACATACAGCCCGCAATGATTACTGTGACCACCAAGCCGAAGGTACTAGATGTATAAACTGATATTATCACGACATTTCATCGAGCGCGTCGAATTATGGTTTGCTTCGGCTAAGCAACCATCGCTGACAAAGCGGGTATGATTTGAATATTGACGAACAGAAAGAAGATCACGTGATGCCTTTCGGCTTTTCGTAGGGTCGTTAAAAAACCTTTCTTTCGTCCGAACTTGTTCTTCATCATGGTTCCTTTATCGTATGCCATGTGCTGCGTCGGACCCATATTCATTTCGCCTGTTACGCTCCAGCCTTTGCAATAAACTGCACTGCACTCTAGACAGATGGTGATGGACGTGAACGCGTGAGCGTTTGAGCTCTCGTCAGCTCATAACGTCACAAAAGAACTCCTTTCTTCACGATAAGGTGTGCCTACAATGAAGTGATAGCTTATTAAGCTCAGTGTTTATCTGCTTTGCTGAGCCATATGTGATCTATCCAGCACGCGCAGCGACGTCGTCACCACATTTCTCATATTTAATTGCATAATGCTTATCATTTTTTGCCAAATTTTCCATTAGAGTACGATGTTAGATATCGAGGTGACTTGATGCGCTTTTACGATACTGACGTCGCCAATTGCTGAGGCGCTATGTACAGCGTACGGGTGCGATGGGTAAACCAACTCAGGTAGTCTTTATAACATCTGAATGCCAAACGCTTGCATTAAAATTAGCGATGTCGTCCCATGACGT